AAAATTATTAAAATTAAAAAATTGATATAAAAAATAGCTAAGCTAAAAAAAATATCCCGTAGAGGGCCTCTATGAGTTAATTACTATGTATTTTGCTTAACTAAATAAATTAGCAATCAGAAATCTAAAAAAAAAAACAAATCCAAAATTATTTTCTCTTGGAAAAAATTATTTCTTTTCCTTCCATGGGCATAAATATTCTTTCAGTACATTTCTAGTAATGATTTTTTATTCACAATGTGTATGAGGATGAACACACTCTTTAAACTGTGAAAACCAGTTAAACTAACTAAGCAGCTTTTCCGAGTGCCTTTCTAATTATCAAGGTGCCAATTTGAAGGAATAATGCACTAAACTTTGCCAGATGGATGTTGGTAAGAAGTAAGCATGTTCCATGTAAAGTTTCTTACTTTTAGCTCCTTTTAAAATATATTTGGGAACTCTTACTGATAGTCATATGAGGTGGAAATTTTATATAAACTGGTCCAAGTAGCTGGGATTTCCTAATGTATAGCTATTTAAAGTGTATTCATTTTTCTATTGCAGTGTTTCATTAAGTCAATATGAATGATAACTTCCTTGATATCTTTTGTTAGAAAAATATGTTTGGTAAGATAGGCTAGTTATTTGCTAAAATTACTTTTAGCTATAGTGCCATATTTATTTTTAATTAATAGGGTAACATGGATACCTTTTCTGGTCGATACTTTCATATATTATCAGCTCTTCTTCGCCTGCATCCTCCTTGGAAGTCCCCAGCCATGTCCAGATATTATTTAGAGTTGTTTCAGTGTCCAACTTGCATGAAAGGAGCATGGTGTCTAGTAGAAGTGCTTATAAGGTAAAAAATTTCATGAGAAATGATAAATTTTATCTAGTATAAATTACATATTTTTAGATACTCAAGCAAGACATTTATTTCTTTAAGAAAAAATGTGTGATACATTGGTTAAACTGTTAAATTTTTGGCTTACTGAAAGGTTGGCAGTTCAAACCTAACAGCAACTTTTGGGAGAAAGATGTGGCAGTTTACTTGTGTAAAGATTATAGCATTGGCAGTTAGCTTCTATAAATATTATAAACAGATTTACTCTATACAATATTGTCACTATCAGTTGGATTCTGTGGCTCTGACTATTGTTTTATTCCTTGTTTTTTTTTAAAATGTGTTTGTATATTGCATGTATTAGAAAACTATATTTTTTAAATGGTTGAAATTAGTTATGGTTATCATTTGTTTATTTTAAAATAAATGTTGGATGAATAAATGAATACACATAAATTTGGGTAATATTTTTATAGACTTACTGGGAAGCCAAATTGTATGTTTTCCTGGAAGAAAGATTTTGTAGAAAATAACCAAGTTTTTAGAGAATAATGAATATTATTCCGGAGCTACCTTAGTGTGTGTGTAACAAAAGATAAGTGTGCGTAGTGCAATTAGAGAAATAATATTTCCTATGGAAATAATGAAATATTGATAATCAGAAGCATTAAAGCTGCTGTAAATGTATTAAATACCTTTGTTAGGATTTCTGGGGGATTTTTTTCCTTCATTCACGCATTTAAATATTGTAACTCGTTCACTTGCTCTCATTGCTGTCAAGTCAGAACCAATTCATACCTGACCTTCCAGTGTGTTTTCAAAAGATGTAAATTGCTTACGGGTAGATTTGCCCCATTTTCCCTCAGAGCAACTGGTGGCTTTGAACCACCGATGTTTGGCCAGCTATTACATCCTACTCCCTTAGCTGAAGAACGTAATATTTTCAATTATGTCATCTCTTTCTTGCCCTCTGCACATGCTTTTCTTCTATATAGTTTATGTTGTGGTGTTATTAGGTGCCATCATATTGGCACTGACTCATAACAACCTTTCATGCAACTGAGCAAAACATTGCCTGATCCTGTACTAGCCTTAGAATGTTGATGATATGTGCCATTGAGTTGGAACCAATTTATACCCTGACTCTCCAGCGAGTTGAGGGTGAATTCAAACCATATGCTTTTGGGTTGGCATCAATGCCTTGCCACTCTGCACCAGAGCTTCCTATCCTTGCAACAGTATTTCAAATACTTTAAAAAAAAATTAGCCATCAAAATCTTTGGGAATATTATATATAACCTTATTTTATCTTGTAGATGTTGATATCTCTAGGAATTCTTTCATTTGTTTCTTCTTCTAAATTAACGACCATTTCCACCTTTCTACTATGATTATATTTTGCAACTGAAGACCCTTATTTGTTCTATGCAAGTCTTTCTTTTTAACTACCTACTCAGTTTTAGGAATACATAGTGGTGAAAGAGAAAAACTTTCAGTTAGCTCTTTGGACATAAAGATTAACTTGCTATTTTGATTGTGATATATTTGAAAGAACCAGTCTACTAAACTAGCGTATATTTACTGATGGATCTAGAAATGGCGTTTTTAACTATAAAAGCAACTCCATTCTTCCTTACCTTTTCATCTCTAGCATAGTAGATCATATGATCATCTGACTCAAAAAGCCCCTTGCCAGTCCATCTCCTCTCACCAATACCTAGTATTTCAATATTTATACATTCCATTTCTTCCTTAACAATATCCAATTTTCCTACATTCATGGTTCTCGCATTCCATGTTGCAGTCACTAGTGTCTGCTTACAACTTTTCCTCCTCCTTTGTGTTTCCATACTTGAGGGCTCCACCTCAGTTGCCCTATCTTCTAGTCTTGAGTGTGTTCTGTTGTATGTAGAGTTTTCAAAGGCCTGCTATTTCTAAGGCAAATATTTGCTATAGAAGATTTAAAAAAGTAAATAAAATATTTCGTTTTAAGATCTTTGAAGAAATAACTTTAAATGATCTTAATTTACTATAGTGAAAAAAGAGAATAATCTTGGGTTAGGAGAAGGTTGTAAAGAATATTTTAAATTAAGAGGATATCTGGTCATCTCAACAGTACTTAATGACATTAAACAGCAAAACAGAGTAAAACTACAGACCACTATATTATTGTTAAACATAGGTATTATTAAAAATAAAGACATATCTGTCTTAATATGACAAATACTTGAATGGCTTCATTATTAAAGACGTAAATGCATTGTTAATGTAATATTTTCAAGAAGTAGTTTGCTTACCGGTGACTCAGTGAATTGCTTATATAATTATAGATTGTTCGTTTCATATTCTTCAGGTCTTGCCTTTTCAATGAAAATTTTTGTCACCGAATTTCAGGAAATAGTATTGGCTCTAAAGTGCTCCATCTGACACTGCTTAAATTTTTCCTTAATTTAGTTGAAAGTGAAGTAAGACATCTGAGTCAAAAGTAAGTTTTGGTTATTGTAATCACATTTTTTTTACTATTTCCATTCATGTACATCATTTTTCTAATCACATACAGACATCTAAAATATTTCGTTTTTTATTTTAAAGTAGGTGTTTCTTTAGAAACATTCCCAGACACAGAAGTTTTTAATGTTTACTTAAAAAACTCACTAGGTTTTAATACTGCTTTTATAATACCCACAGTAAGTTTTACTTAATGTTCTCAAACTTTTAGATAGATTCTTGTGTGTATGATGTTACTGATTTTATTGAACTGAGAGAAATATTTTCATATTTTATCCTTATATCTTATTCTAGTCTTTTTATGTTAGGACTTCCATATTAAAAAAATTACTAATATTTTTTATTTCACAAAAAATTAGCATAGTTCTAGTAAATACAACAATCAAATTTATGTAAAGATTTGTATTTGTTCATGTTCGAATTAGGTTGTATGACTGGTCAGAATCTCAGAGTCTGAAGATTACAGGAAAGGCAGTTACTCTTGAAGTCTTCTGGTCAGGAAGTGAGACCTCTGCACTTTTGACAAAACCAGTAAATAAGCTTCTGGAATGGACTATACATTCTCACAAGGAAAAGTATAAATCAAATGATGTAAGTAAATTAATTTACGAATGGGTAATGACCTATAAAAAAAGTAATTTACATTATTCATTTTTTTTATTTTATGAGTTATTTGAAGAAAGTGGAAGCATATCTAAATATATTTTTTCTGTAAACTTTTTTTATTTTAATGCTTATGGAGGTCAATACCTTTATCTTTTTACCTTTGTATGTAGTAGATATTTACTTAATTTTTAGTGAAGAACAGCAAAGCAATATATAGTGAATTACTGTTGTAGATTTTCCCCAAAATTTATAAAGATTCCATGATAAAAGAACTTGAGGGGCAGCCCTTAAGGGTTTTTTTGTGTCCTACTAAAACTGACATGTGCCTGATTCCCATGGTATTTTCAATTGTTTATATGCATATGAAAGTTGGACAGTTAATAAGGACGACAGAAGAAAAAGCAATGATTTTGAACTATGGTGTTAGTAAATAATATTGAATATAATGTAAACTGCAAAAGGGACAAAACTCCTTAGAAGAAGTATAACCAGAGTGCTGTTTAACAGCAAGGATGATTAAGCTTTGTCTCACTTACTTTGGACTTATTTCCAAGGAGGAATATTGCTTAGAGAGAGGTATCATGCTGGGGGAAAGTTGAGGGGTCAATGAAAGAGAGGAAGACCATCCATGAGATGGATTGATATAGTGACTGTCACTATGGGCTTGAGTATGAGAGAGATCATGTAGGCGGCACAAGATAAGACGGGGTTCAGATCTGTTCTTCATAGGGCCACTATGATTATAGTTGACGTGGTGATGCCATTAAATAGCAACTAAAAAGAAACCTTTTGAAAAAAAAAAACCAAACACTACTTTTTTGGTTATTAAAAGATATTTTCTAAAATTATTTTTCATAAATCTATTTGTTCAATTTCTGACATAGTTTTACAAAGAGTAGTTGACAAAATTAAATATAATAAAAGCACATATAACATACATGCACATACTGGATGCATAAAAAATATTGTGGGCTGTATACCCTGAAATAATGTTGAAGTACCAACCCCAATTATATATGAATGTGACCATATTTGGAAATAGGTGTTTGCAGAAGTAATTAGGTAGAGTAAATGTGAGATCATGATAGATTAGTATCCATCTTAATCTGTAGTCTTCAATATGGATTGAAGTTTAACATCAAAAAGATGAAGATTCTCACCACGAGACCAATTGGCAGGGCCATAATGGACAGAGAAAAGATTGCGGTTGTTAACAATTTTCAGCTTTCTCAGTTCCACAATTAACACTCTTGGCACCAGCAGTCAGGAAATCAAAACATGAATTGCCCTGGGGAAGTCTGCTTTCAGGGACCCTCTCCAGAGTGTTGAGGAGCAAAGAAGGTAACTGTCTTGTTTTTAAGTCACTCAGTTTGTGATGATTTACTGTGTCAGTGATCTACATTTTGGTACCAGAAATGGTTTGCTGCTATAACAAATACAAGAAAATGTGAAAATGGCTTTAGGATTGGATAGATGTTAGAAGAATTTTGAGGCATATGATTAAAAAAACCTAGATTTCCTTAAAGATACTTGGCATAAATATAGTTGTTGTGTACCCGATCCACAGCTGACCCTCCAGTGGGTTTTTAGAGGCAGCTAACACACAGGAGGAGATTGCCTGTCTTTTTCTACTAGAGGAGCAACTGGTAGATTCGAACTCTGTGCCTTTGGGATTGCAGTACAGTTTCTTACTACTAGGCCACCAGAGCTCCCTATAAATACTGTTGTTGTTGTTGTTGTAAGATGCCATCAAGTCACCATAGCGACCCTATGAACAAAAGATTTGAACCCTCTGCTTTTATTCTCTGCCATCCTCACACTTCCTGACACACAAGAGCCCATCGTAGCAGTCACTGTGTCAGTCCATCTGATTGAGGGTCTTCCTCTCCTTCACTGACCCTCCACTCTTCCCAGCATCTTGTCCTTCTCCAAGGAATAGCACCCATAGTAGAACATACCCAAAGTATGTGAGGCAAAGCCTGATTATTTTTTCCTCCAAAGAGTTAGAGGTAATTCTGGTGAAGACTCAGAAATGAGTCAGGAGAGCTGTAAAGAAAATTTCCATTGTCTCAGAAGATGTATATACTGTCATAAAGAATATGGTGATTTTGGTCTCAGAAGTAAGGATCTTACTGGAAACCAGAGAAAACATCATTCTTTTTTATATGAGATATTAGAAACTAAAGTGATTCTACTTATAAAGTGACACACATGACTGAATTGAATTCTTCTGAAGGATGGAAAATAGAATCTGCAAATTATAAACTTAGATATTTAGGTGAGTATTCTAAGCAAGATTCTAAGCAAGATGTAGAAGGTATACCTTTATTTATCCTTGCTGGAAAATCAGGAAAAAAAATTAGAAGCAAAAAGAAACTTTTTTTTTTTAAGCGATTTTTTTTTTTGGTGAGCATTCTGAGCAAGATACAGAAGGTATGCCTTTATCCTTACTGTAAAATTGTGGAAAATTAGAAGCAAAAAAGAAACTAACACTTTGAAATTTATAATATTTGAAGCCTATCTACATAGGGAACCTTGCTTGTGCAGTCTATAGGGAGTTGCACTGCCATCCCACAGGTAATGCCTCTGTCGAAGTTCAAATCCTCTAGACAGTCTACTGCTATGTGATGTACAACCTCCAAAAATCTGCTGGAGGTTTGACTATGATTCGATTCAAACTCTATGGCAATGAATTTGAGTTTGGGTGATTTTTTTTTTTAAATAGGGTCACTTGTTATTGTTATTGTTAATGTTAGGTGCCATCTAATTGAGTACAACCCATAACAACCCTATGAACAGTCCACCTGCTTGACCCTCTACCTCTCTGAGCGTCCTGTCCCTCTTCAAGGAATAGCCTGAATTATGTGAGTTGAAGCTTTATCATCCTTGCCTCCAGAGAGCACTCTGGCTGTACTTTCTCCAAGACATACTTATTTGTTCAAAAGGCCATAGGATTCTCTTCAGCAGCACAGCTCAATGGTATCAATTCTTCTGTCATCCTTGTCCATCTCTCAGATGCATAGAAAATGATCAGAACTACCATGGCCTGAATCAGATGCACCTCAAATTGACATCATTTCTTCTCAATAATTTAGAGAGGTCCCTAACTACGGATTTCCCAGTGCAATAAGTCTCCTGATTTCCTAACTGTAGATACCAAGGTTGTTAATTATGGACCCAAGTTAAGATGAAGTTGTTGATAGTTTCAATCTTTTCTATCATGATGTTGCCTAGAACGCTAGTGGTAAGAATTTTTGTTTTCTTGGCATTGAGATGCAATCCATATTGAAAGCTGGAATGGAATTTACTCAGTGGCACCTAACAAGAATAATAGCAGCCTCCAGAACTGCGAGGGATACATTTTGCTGTTTTAAGCTACTCAGTTTATAATAATCTTTTCTATCACCCTTAAGATATTAAAACCTTTCAACTTTGTGAAATTATTCTTGAAAAGTACTGTGTACTTTTTTTTTGGTGGTGGTGGTGGTGGTGGTTTTTGTTGTGTTCCATCAAGTTGGAACCAACCCATTGCTAACTTTTCAGTGCGTTTTCAGAGGCAGTTAATCACATGGGAGGAAATTACCCGTCCTTTTCCATGGATCAGCTGGTGGATTTGAACTGCATGCCTTTGGAATTCCAGCACAGCTTCCTGCGATTAGATCACAAGAGTGTATTATTTTTTTTAATTCTTTACTTTTCTTGAATATTTGAATTTTTTTCTCTTTTTTCCCTAATTTTTGTTGTTTTTAGGTGCCATCAATTTCATTCTAATGATGACCCTTTGTACAACAGAACGAAGCATTACTCATATGCCATCTTCACATTCCTTGCTATACTTGAGCCCATTGTTTCCAATGTGTCAGTTCATCTCATTGAGTCTTCCTCTTTCTCCACGTTGTCCTCTTCCAGGGAGTAGTGCCTCCAATAGTATACCCAAAGTACACAAAATAAATCCCCTATTCTATAAAGCGTTTTGGAGAATTTGTTTGTTCATCAGAAAATATTCTTTGCCAGCACCACAATTCAAAGGGTTTGGGTTTGTTTTTGTTGTAGATTTGGTTTTGTTTGTTTTGGTTTGTTTTGTTTTTTTGGTTTTTTTTTGGTTCCCGCCGCCCGTGTTGCATGTAAATTTATTGTATAGCTTTTCTCAGCATATAAGAGAATTGAAAAATACCATGACTTAAGGTTGGGAGAGGGGAGGGGGAAAAAAAAATACCATGACTTGAGTCAAGCATACCTTAGTTTTCTAAGTGACATCTTTGCATTTTAACATTTAAAAAAAAAAGTCTTTGCAGCAGATTTGCTTATATGGTGTAGTGTTTGATTTCTTGACTATTGTTTCCATAGCATTGATTATGCATCCAAGTAAAATGCTATCCTTAACAACTTCACTCTTTTATCATAATGTTGCTTGCTTATTGGTTCAGTTGTGAAGGTTTTTGTTTTCTTTGAATTATGATGTAGCCCATATTGAAAGCTATAGTCATTGATCTTCAGTAAATGGTTCAAGTCATCTTCAGTTTCAGCAAAGAAGGTTATATCATATCACATGTTCTTAATTAGCCTTCATCCAAATCTGATGTCATGTTCTTCTGAATGCTGTATTGCCTAGCAGCATACAGATTGAGAGTGTATATTGAGAGAATAAAAACCTGAGGTATACTTTTTTCCTATTTTTAACGATGCAGAATTCACTTGTTCTGTGAGAATTACTGCCTCTCAGTGTTTATATAGGTTCTTCATGAACACAATTAAGTGTTCTCAAATACACATCCTTCATAATAGTGTTCATAATTTATTGTGATTAGCACAAGCCCTTGCAGAATCAGTAAAACAAGATAAAAATCTTGTATTTTTTAAGCAAAGATCAATGCCACATGATCAGTAATATTCTTCATTCCAGGTCCTCTTCTGAATGTGGTTTGAATTTCTGGCATTTCTCTGACAAAGTCCTAATTCAAAACCATTTTTAATTACCTTCAACA